CGGTTCGCCATACTTTAAATTCCCCAGTTATGACCTACTCGGATTTAGGATTAAGGAAAATGTGACTTTTAAATTGTTTCTGCTTCCCAATTTGCAGGATTATTTGAAATAGCTAGAAAAGGGGTGCAAAGCATTCCATTCAAAATCCGCTTTGCGCAAAGTTGCTTTTGCGCTCTGGAGCTCGGAGTTTTGAGCGAGCGTGTTATTGTGCTGCAGCCTGGGGCTGCGGCCTAGTTCCCGCCCCCGCCGCCTCCTCCCCCTCTTCCCCGCACCTGGCCGCTAAGTGGAGGCAACTCGCGGGACTGTTGGGCGGCCTGGGTCGCAACCTTCCCACCATACCAGAGAAAGGGGTGAATCAAGCAATCCAGAGGTAACGAAATTGTTCTTCTCTCACCACGAAAGGCACTGACTCATGGTCTACAAGGAGCTGGGCCAAAGCGCAGACACCGCTGGAGTCCCTCTCCCAGGCTCGGAGTCTCGGAGATCGGAGCAGGACCTCCCCCGGCTACCCCGCCCGCCCGTCCGTCCCAGCCTGCGCGCCTGAGCCCCGCAGCGGCCCGATAGGTACCCACTTGTTGATCCGGCCGGCTTGCTCATGCTGGCGGTCCCGGGGCGGAGCGGTTGGTGGGCGCTGCCCGAGTCCCGGCCGGCAACGCCCGCTTCGCCGCCGGGCGCCGCCGCTCTCCAGCCGCCTTCCAGCCTGGGAGGCTCCGGGGCCGGACAGGTGGGTGTCGATTGCGCGCTGCGCTGCTCCCCGGGCGCTCAGAATTCGTTCCACAGTGGAAAATTAAGCATCCTTAAGTTTCTTCCCGCCTCTTGCAAAACCGCAGCTGCTGGGAATGTTGCTTGGTATGGACACAGGCATGTACAGACAAATGGAGAGACGGACAGGCAGATCGAGGGAGAAGGGAGGGCAGGCAAGAGAAGGGTATTGAAGAACAGAGATGGAGACACGAAAATGGTCTTTCTACGGAGCAAAAAGGGCAAAATCCCTCTCTTTCCCCATTCCTGTCTCTCAGTCTTCAGTTCCTCCCTCTACATTAGGCAGGCAGAGTGTGGGCAGATCTCTACAGACCGCTGCTCTTTTACGGAAAGAAGGGAAACACACAACCGCAGTCTCAGGCAGATGGGCTCCGCGCTGCCCAAATCCGAGCGCGGAGTGGGAAAAACTAGATTGCTGGGAAGTCTTCCGAGGGAACAGGAGGCCAGCTCCCGGTTTCCGGGGAGAGCCAAGCACGCAGCGGCAAAGGGTTCCCGAAGTTCATTACCCCGTGACTTTGTGCCTGTCGCTGCGGACTGGGTCCCCTGTAATATCTCCAGAAGCGCTCTGACAGGCAGCCACGGGGAGGGGAATAGGGCGTCCCTGGCCCACTTAGCTTTTCCCCCAACTCCTGGCGGGGTCTGACGTCAGCCATGTGCGGGGAGGGGATGGAAAGAGGGAGGGGGTTAAATGCTAATGATATTAATGAACCTCCAAGCGGCTCCCAAAGAAAATGCAGGCGCTCTCGGAGCTGAGGAGTTAGAGTATGAATAAGGGAGTGTGGCTCTGTGCGTGCGAGATGGTGAGGACGGTGCTGCTCTCGTAATAAAAATGAATTATTATATTTCATGGCAAGGAGGTTAGGGGAGGGGAGCTGGAGCTTTCTCAGAACGCTTTCCCCCTTCTCTCCAGAGAGCCAGACAGATTCGTGGAAGAACTGGGTGGCTGTGTGTTTGTGTGTGATTGTGCGCGCCGGATATGGCCATGTGAGTTGGTTCATTCTTGGTCTCGTGCCCCTTCTGTTGGGTAAAACTTGGATCTGGTCCAAGGTGAGTAATTATTCATTTTGCAACTATCTACGGAACGTTATAGGCGAGACACTGTGTGCGTATTTGGGGCCTGGGACGGGGTTTGCCGGAGGCTCCGCGTTCCTGTGGCCTTCGCGCTGTCCACTTGGGCACCGGCTGCCGGGAGGGTGCCGCCGGCTTGCCGAAGTAAAGCCCATCCGGAGCAGGGCGAAGCTATTTCGCCTCCATTATTTCTGCACTGGAGCGGCTGGAGGGTAGAGCTTTCCCTCCCGCTGCCCGTCCCCAGCGGGCTTCGCTTGCCCCCCACCGCCCCAATTCAGGGTCCAGGAATTCTGGAGAGCTTCCTCCCCCGCCTTAGCCCCCTACTCCTCCCGCCCGCCTTTCCCGCGATTCCTGTGCTCTCTCCTGCCCTGGATCCTGTACCGCGCTGGGAGAGCGCACGCCTAGACAGCGGTGATCCCCGATCTCTAAGAGATTAATTCTTACTAAAGCTCTCCCAGCAGCTTGAACTTGTCGAACAAGAGCTTGCCAGCCTCACCTCCTGGCGTGGGCTTGGCCAAAGGTCAAGGGTCACACCTCCTGCTCTCCCGCCCTCCGCTCAAGCTCTGGGGGAGGTGAACAGATAGTAGCACTCCGCAATTCTACCCGCCCGCTCCCGGTCCCACTTTCTCCAGACTCTGTGTCAACCCGGGCTTTCGATCAGAGTATGTGTGTGCAAGGGAGTGCTTGCGTCCCCCGGACCCTCGGAGGGCGCCGCAGTTCCTCGGCCCCGGAGGTTCAGGGCCGAAGGCTGTGCGCTCCTGCTGGCGGCCGCAGCACGTGACCGCAACTTTCCGCCGCGGCCTGGGCTGGGCCTGGAGCCCCCGCCCGCGCACGCCCCTCACCAGAGCCCGCGTCCTTGCTAGTGCTGAGCAGCGACCAGGACTCGGGCCTGGGGACACTCGGAAAGAGCAAGAAAGGGGACAACTACCTCCCAAGTTTTTTCGAAGTGGGACGGTTTTTCGAAGTGGGACGAGATCAGGGAAATGTGGAACAAAGCCACAAACCTGAGGGGATTTTTAGGAGACAAGACAATAAGTCAACATTGTTGACAACCAAGTTAGGCAGACTTGTGCTCGGTGCCCGAGGCGTGGTGCAAACTCGAACTCCGCACCTAGAAAAGTATATGATTTCCCGCCGGCGTTTGAGAAACACAGTTACTGTGCCATTTTGGAGCCTGGGGCGCCGGCTTCCACCAGAGAGACACTTGCCACGCCCCCCCCCCCCCCCCCCCCCGCCACTACCGCCAGCTGAAGTGACACATGAGACTCCTCTTCCCCGGCCAGAGCCGCCCAAGAGCTCGGTAACAGTATTAAATCCAATGAGTCTGTGTTTCGATTTAAAAGTTCTATGCCCCCTCCCCCCCCCCCCCCCCCCCCACCGCTACCACCATCACCACCGCCACGTGGACGCAAAGGGCGGCGCTTGGTTCAGGCCGAAGAACTTTATAGAGTCCAAATAATTTAAGATGAAGGTCAAAGATGAAGGCCGGCGTAGAAGACTAGGCTCAGGTCTGTCTCCAGGGGAGAAGTTTAGGAGTCTGTGGCTAGGAGACCTGGAAGCCGCTGTGCAGGTGCCGGGGCTTGGAGGTAGGAGGACTATGGTTCTAGAGGGTCCAAACCACCGGTTTCCCTACTCCAGACACTCTTGCCTTACTGACTCAGTTGTAGGCACCAAAGCTTGTGGAAAATACTCCCGAGGCTTACCAAATTGTCTCAAAGTCAAAATGGGAATATCCCCTCTTACTCCCACCACCAGTCTTGAATCAAGCAGGGTGGCAAGAAGAATTCCACTGAATAGAAACACACACACACACACACACACACACACACACACACACCATCCAGCCCTGGCAAAAGACACAACATGCGCATACACACCCACAGCATGTTCTGCCCTCCTGGCTGTAATTATGCGCACGCTTTGCATAACTCACAATGCAGTTCTGAAATCATCATGATGACTTTCTGGCATGATTGGTTCGGTGGCAACAGCAGCTACAAGATCCAGGGTAGGCAGGAGGGGCTAGGGCCCAGCTGCCCACCAGGTCCAGGAGGAGCCTGGCACCAGTGTCCGCTGGCTTCTACTAACTGGAAGCTGCTGCAGGACACAGGGACCTCGGATCTAAGGTGTAAGAAACTTGGGACTCTTGTGGTCGCAGCTCAGAGAAGAAAGACTCTTCAAGGTAGGGACTGTTACTTTTCATCTTCCTATCCATAGGCTCGAGCAAGCACGCTGCCTGATTCATAGTAGGTGCTGCATAAACATTGGGCAAATGAATGAAGGTGAATGTAGCCTGCAGATTTCCCAAGAAGTCACTGGAGGCACAGCAAGGCTAATCACTGGAAGCCAGGAGGTGGAGCTTCAGGCTCTGTCCCAACTAGCTATGTAAATTTGGGCAAGTGACTAGACCTCTGTTGGCTCCAGATCATTATCTGTAAAATGATTAAGTCCTGTTCAACCTTAACTTTCAAAGATTTTTCTTGTGAGTCCACAAAGAGAAGTGATTGATGAGGGGCAAATGCCATGTATCTCAGAAATACCTTTTAACAGAGACAAGATATTAAGTTCAAGGATGAGTTTATAAAGTTGGCTTGGAAAGGGTGTGACCACACCCCAGAGGTTCTCAAGCCTTTCTGACCAGGTCCAAACATAGCCTCTAGCATAGTCTTTATCCTCTTGTGAGTATGGAGTTCTCAACCAAAACCAAAGCAAAAACACAGGGAAGACATCTTTTATCACAGGATGTTTACATTTTGGTCAAGGAGATAAGAAATAAGACCTTCAGAAGGATGATGGAATCTAGGAGTCTCTGTCCATCCAGCAATCCACCCCACTCATCAAACACTGAGCACCCACTATGTGCCAGAGATTAATGACATGACCCCTTTCTCAAGGAGTCTACAGGGAGAGCAGGCTCATAAAAGGTGATAAGTGCTTTAGACTGGATTGAAACACAGGACATTCTGGAAAAATATACAAGGGACCCTAAACCAGTGTGGAGTTGGGAAGGCTGTCAATGCCCTTGGAAAACTGGTTATATGTTAGGGGAATCTACTGCCTCTGAAAACTGTCTTCTAGTATAGCTCACTCTCTTGCTAATCCTCTTTCTCATCCATTTAAAAAGGGAGGTAGAAAAACAGAAATAGACTCACAGACATAGAAAACAAACTTATGGTTGCTAAAGGGGAAAGGAAAGGGAGGGATAAATTAGGAATTTGGGATTAATAGATACACACCACTATATATGAAATAGATAATCAACAAGGACCTACTGTATAGCACAGGGAACTATATGCAATATCTTGCAATAACCTATAATGGAAAAGAATCTGAAAAAGATTATACATATATAGCTGAATCACTTTGCTGTACACCTGAAACATTGTAAACCAACTATACTTAATTTTAAAAATGTTTTAGAACAACAAAGAAAGGCGGGAAGTAGAGTCCTGTGAATTAGATTGCATGAGAGAGGCAGGGGTGCAGGACACCCCTCTAGCATCAGATTATTTGGGTCTGACCTCTAGATCTCCATTCACTTAGTTTCCCTAAAAAACAGTGCCATTTTCTCCATTAAGTGCCCCCTCCAATATTCTAACTTAAAACAGTAAAGGAGAAAGGAAAAGCTTTCCCATCAGCAAGCAAAGCTAAAGTTGGTGTGGAACAGAGACTCCCCTCCCCAACCAGTGATCAACCCCCTCTCAGAGGCTACCCTGTCTCTAGAGATTCATTCCTTTAAAATTCCCCTCACCTCAAGGACAAGCAGGGTTGAGAAATACCCAGACCCAGAAAATGTCTGGCAAAACCTACCAGTTAAGGTTGCCTGGGGTTTGATGTTCAGTTTCCAAAAGACCCTGACACAAGTTTTGTTTGTTTACATGAAGGGGAAAGTTGATTTTCATTTGCTTCCAGGTCATAATTCAACCTATACTTGCTTGTTGCTTCCCCAGTGGGTGGGGAGTGAGAGAGAAGGTGGGTCATAGAGCAGAGTGTCCAGCTCAAAGTAGG